TCCTGCCGCACCCCACCCCAGCCACCTCACCCTCCAGTGAGGACAGAGCAGAGCAGGGCTGCCCAGCGGCTGACAGACCAGCGTGTGACTCAGGTCAAGACCAGCCCGAGCCCACGGTGTTCACAGTGGGCAAGTGGTGACTTTCTGTGATGTTCAGCCCTTCCCAGGATGAGGTCAGGATTCCATGGGACGGTGAATGGCTGCGCCTGCAGCGTGACCTGCCTCCCAGGGACGAGGGGAGGTGGGGGCTCTGCTGACCCTCATGCTCCCCCTTTGCCATAAGTGCCCTGCGGGGTTCAGTGGCTGGCAGATGAGTGACAGGACACAGCTCTCTGGCCTGATCTCCAGCGTCATCATCTTTCCCTTCTCAGGGGAGCAGGGAGCGCCTCTGGCTCCAGGGGAACCCCCAGGTCACCATCCTGGCCCCAGGCCTCAGAGCAGGGCCAACGCCCCTTGGGTTTTAAAAGCTTTAGTGAAAAAACAGAACCTGGTTTATCTGTAAAGGTCAGTGCCCAAGGTACGGCGGGATCCCCACCTCCACGGGTGGCTCCCAATGACCACTGTGAAGAACCCACAGAATGGGGGGCAGCCCCTGAAGATTCTGAATTGAATGGAGCAGGGGGACGAGGAAAGGACCAGAGTAAGTGGACAGTCCAGCTGGAGTTTTCTACCGATGCCCCCTTCTCTGCCCCTGCCTGGGACGGAGGCACTGGCAGTGAGACCAGAGCTGGCCTGGAAATGGGGGACAGCAGGGGTGTGTGTGAGAGTCGTCTGTGGGGTGAGATGAAGGAGGAGGGAAGGTCGAGAGGACAGTGTCGGGAGATGCCAGGAGGGGCTGAGCAAGGAGAGGGTGCAGCAAAGAGGGCGGTTGAGGAGGAGAGGGGAACAGCGGAGGGAACAGGGGGAGGTGTGGGGGCGTCACTCACAGGTCATGAAGCCAACAGCCTCCTCCAGGGAGGGGACCAGCAGCCCAGAAGAAGGGGAGACCTGCAAAGAGGAGAAAGAGGAAGCTTCCAGGTCAGACAGGCAGAGGGTAAAAGCCACTTCTCCTTCCCTGCAGCCCATCATGGTGGCCTCTGCTCAGAGTGACCAGGGCCTGGGAGGGAGGGGCAGTGGGTCAGGCTTAGGGTGACATGCCCCAGGGCAGGAAGGGGGTCTCCTGCTCTGGGGGGGGGAGGGGCGGGGCTCAAGGAGGTTTGGGATGGGCTGTTCCTCAGGAGGGGGAGGACTCTGAAGTCTGCGTCTCCCCCAAGGTGAGGTCCAGTGGGTCTCCCGTCTCCCTTTGCCCGGCTCCCCTCTCTCCAAGCCCCTCACCCAGCTGTGGGGTCCCTCCTGGCAGAGACCCTGTCCCCCTCCTGGGCAAAAATGCCTCTGGGATCCTTTCCTTTCCCATCTCCATGAAGGTCTTGATTCTCACACCTGAGGTCAGCGCCCCAGAGAACCTCCCTCTGCCCTAACATGTCAAGAGGGAAGTCCCTGCAGATGTGGAGACAGTGATGAGGGTGAAACTGAAAGGAGAGTCTCCGGGTCCCTGGACTCTGAAGCAGACTCAGGGTCCCTCCTGCGCTGGCCTCAAGGGCTTGAAGGGACGGCGCCTGTCAGCAGGGATGGGAGAGCAGCTGGCGTGTCTGCTCCTGGCCCTGCTCCTGCTCGTGGCCCCAGGTGAGGGGGGCTGGTTCTGGGATGGAGGCTGCGGGGCTGGGGCAGGACACAGGGTCTGTGGGGCGGGGACACGCCAGGGGACAGGGCAGGGCCATCCTCCCTGCAGACTCTCCCTCCCTGGGGAGGACCCAGGGTCTCTCACAGGCCCTGCCGTGCTGGGACAGAGGGCACCGGCCAGCAGAGGTGCCCTGAGGGCAGAGCCTGCTCCTGGCTGGGGGCCCAGGGTGAGGGGTCCCGAGGGCCCAGGCCTGCTCTCTCCTCAGGAGCAGGTCTCAGCTCAGGGCAGGCCTGTCAAGGAGGCCCAGGCTCTGAGGGCTGAAGGGGTTCCGGGACCTCAGCCCCCAGGAGCTGGAGCCCAGGGGGGCACTGGAAGGGGGCGGCAGCCTGGGCTCTGGGGTGGCTCAGGGCACACGTGGCGCCCGAGTTTCTGCTCCAGAGGTGCCAAAGACCAAGTTCGGCCCATGGGTGAAGGCAGCTGCCACATTAGTCGGGTCAGCGGGATGGGGTAGGGGCAGGCGAGCCGGGGGAGAGGGGAAGTGGCTACTAGGGTGAGACACCAGAAGTGTCTATTTTTCTGTGGTGTCCGGACGGGGGGTCGGGGAGCCCCTAGATGCTGAGACAGGTAGAAGCGGGGGGCCAAGCCCACAAGGCTCTGCTGCTTCTTGTCCGCCCTTTGGCCCCCTGAGGACCCGTAACCCCAACTCTGGGTCAAAAAGCAGAGTCTCTTCTAGAAGGATTTGGCAATGGGAAATAAAATGACCATTTTCTCATCCACTCACCTGATCATCACATATGTGGGAGAAAAACTCTGAAAAGCAGAAATGTTTGTCAAAAATTCACTGATAAACCTCTTTATTATGCCCCTTTTTACATTAGTATAGCTCAAGGGGCTACATGCGTGCATTATTCAAGACGCTGCATTACTCAAAAACTACGTGGCTTTAGTAATGGATCTGAATATCTTTAAATACAGTCTTTTAAAAAATATCTTTTATTTATTTATGCTTTACAAGCAGTGGTGTGTAGGCCAGAGGTGCAGGGGGTTAGAGATTCACCAGAGACAGAGTGGGGAGCAGAACAGGTGGATCTCCTGGAACACACTGCTGAGGGGAGCAGCGGGGAGACAGGAGAGGTTTGCTGTGCCATGTGGGTTAGCTCCCTGGCTGGGGATCAAATTCTTGCTGCAGCGGCTGGTGATTGCACTGAGACTTAAACCTGTGGCTACCAGGGAGGACCTAACATAAATATAATCTTAATTCAAGATCATATATAAGTTTTGTTTTATTAAACTTGCCTGTCTCGGGCCTCCCCTGGTGGTGCAGGTAGTTGAGCTGCGCTGTGAAGCTGTCCACAGCCTCTGCAGCACTGGTTCAATCGGCTGGGAAGGGTCCCACATGGTGTGGCAGACCTCTCCTGTCACCCCCGCTGCTCCCCTCAGCAGTGTCTTTAGTCAGTCTGCCTGTTCTGTTACCCGTTCTGTCTCTGGTGAATCCTCTCACCCTCCCGCACATCTGGTCTGTACCCCGGTTCTTGTATAAATAAAACAAAAATAACTCTTTGAACTTTTCTGTATCTCTAAAATTTCTTTGTGTGTTAAAAATCTTAATTACTTCTGTTGTGGTTTTCCCTCGGTATTTAATATACCTGTAATATGTCCTTGCTCAGCACAACTTGGCTTTGGGGCTATAAAATACCTACAAGTTATGTTAATAGCGGAAAATAATGCATCTGTAAAACAGTGCATGAAACACCAATGTCCATGATTATCAAAGTAGCAGAGCGCGCACCAGTTTCCACAATGACCTGGCATGTGAAGTGTGTGATCCCTGACCTTCCAGGAAAGGAGGTTCTGTGTCATCACTAAGGCTTTTAAAACCCGAGGGTGTGGGGCCTGCTCTGTGGCCTGGGCCAGGAGGGTGACCTGGGGGCTCTCCTGGGCCAGAGGCGCTCCCTGCTCCCCTGAGAAGGTGAGGAGGTGACCTGGATCAGGCCCGAGAGCTGGTCCTGACACCCATCTGAGGGCTGCAGTGCCCTTAGGCAGGGGCTGGGCATGGGGCAGACACGGGAGCCTGTTGTCGGGGGGTCCACCTGGGAGAGGAGACACCTGGTCCCCAACACCCACTCTGAAGCCCCCGGGTCAGTGACCATGAGGCTGTTATTGACGAGGAGGGTCACAAGGAAGGACAGAGTGGGAGCCCACTCAGGGGTTGAGGAAAAATTTAAAAAGAGCTTCAGTGAAGGGCTGAAAAAAAAAAACAGGTGAGCACCAGGGCCTGTGTCCATCCTCACGGGGCTATGTGAACCCCAAAATGATGACTGTCACCAACACCAAGGCTGCTCCAGTGGCCTGAGGCGCTGCTGGGGATTTCTCATCAGACCCGGCGGGGCTGAGAACGAGGCAGGCGAGGGGTCGAGGGTGCGGGTCCAGGCCTGCACAGGGCTGCCCTGAGGGGCTGGGTCAGGCCTCTTGGCGCGACTCTCTGACGGTCAGTCCTGATGGGTGGTCAGGGAGGGCTGGGAGCACTGACGGCAGCTGTGAGATGCTCGTGGCCACCCAGCCTCATCTACCTCACGCCACGGTCGCAGCTGTACTCACGCCCGTGAGCGCGGGTCAGAGGCTGCACCCCTGGGCAGGGCTCCCTGGGGCTCCGTAACTGTGGAGGTTTTTGAGCAGGTCCCGTTTAGTTGTGTCTGTTACTCTGAGTCCTTCAAGCAAAAGCCTGGACGGAACAGCCAAGCACCTGGGGTCCTCGATCCATGGGGACAGGAGAGGACAAGGAGGCACATGTGACATGTGTGACATGGACCCACAGTGCGTGTGGCCACTGGGCAGCTGTGCCCGGTCATTGCCACAGCTGCCCCCACAGCTGGATTCCCAGGGAACCATTAGGAGCTCAGAGCCCCGGGGGCACCCCCACTCCAGGGGTGTGGGTCGTCAGCTGCACCTCCTGGGCCCTGGTGCAGGCCGGTCACAGGCCTCTTCTGGGGAGGCGGGTCCTCTGGGATTTGCTCCCCACCAGATGGAACGACACAGGGTTGGTGCAAAGGGGACTCTCTGGGGACACAGATTCATTGATGACGGGTGGGGGGGGAGGCGGAGTGTGTGAGTGTGTGAATCTGGGGGCTGTTACTGCTCAGGGCCAGCCTCTCTGTGTCTCTGACTCTGAGCTGTGTCTCAGGTGCTGTTCCCGGGGCTTTGCCCAGTGGGATGCAGAAGGACACAGGCCTCTCTCCTGGGGGTCATTCCCTCCATGGCTGTATCCACCTCCCCGCCTTGGGTTGAGGGGGCAGGCGCTGGGCAGGAGGCTGGGCCTGGGCGCAGGTGGGGTCACAGGGGCATGGACGTGTGTTTTCCAGGCTCCTCTGACATCACGGGTCCAGGCGCAGTGAAGGGCTGGGAGCGGAGCTCGCTGACCGTGCAGTGTCGCTATGCTGGATATTGGAAGAACTACGTGAAGTATTGGTGTCGAGGGGCTCACTTGGGCAGCTGCAACACCCTTGTTCAAACCACTGGCTTGGAGCTGGAGGTGAAGCAGGGCCGCGTGTCCATCAGGGACCATCAGAGAAACTACACGTTCATCGTGACCATGGAGGCGCTCACGCTGGGCGATGCGGACACTTACTGGTGTGGGATTGAGAAAGCCGGATATGACCTTAGGGATGAAGTTAAAGTGACCGTTGACCCAGGTGAGCGCCTGTGCATGTGGCTGTGTCTCTGTGGCGCCTGCTCTGTCCTGGTCCCTCAGGTCCTCCCCAGGGGTCACTGTCACTCAGGGTGACTTTCCGGGGGGGCCCTCACCTGGGGGTGCTGGGAGGGGGGCTTCTCCCGGATGCTCAAGGTTCCAGGCAACTCCTGGACGGGAGGATCCTTGTGGCTCACTGTCCCCCTCTGCCCGGCTCAGCCCCTCCATCCATGGTCACAGAGGTCAGGTGATGCCCTGGTCAGCACATGGGCAAAGGGACCCCTTTCCATGGGGCTCGAGACCCCAATTCCTGCCAGTGTTTCCTGGGTCCTCCCTGTCCTTTCTGGAGTTTGGGGCTGAGACCTCATCATGACTGTTCCCTCCCAAGCTCCATGTCCAGGCAGGGGACAGCCTGGCACAGACCATGGCTAATTCCTGAGCCTTTCAAAGTCTTCATAACCGATGGGCCGCACCTCTGGGGCCTGGACTCCCACCATGAGCCATTTATTCCCCTGCTATAGGGTGTCCTTTCAGAGTCCTTCTAGAATTCAGACCCTGAGGGAGGGGCTACTTCAGGGTCCCTTCTCCTGAGCTACAAGCAGTGAATTTGGGGCTCCCCTCTTGCTGAGCGCCCCCCACCCCAGGGCACTAGTGGCAATGGGGGGAGCACTAGGGTCAACAGAGCCCCCACCACCCCTCAGACCTGGGATGCAAGTCACGCTGCAAGTGCAGCCAGTCACGTCCTGTGGAATGCTGACCTTGTCCTGGGAAGGGCCGTCCCATCACAGAAGCTTCACCACTTGCCCAAAGTGAGGGTCTCCCTGGACAATACGGGCTTGGGCTGGTCCTGACCTGAGTCACATGCTGGTCTGTCAGCCACTGGGCAGCCCTGCTTTGCTTTGTCCTCGCTGGAGGATGAACAGCGGGATTTGGGGGAGACTCAGGAGCAGCAGGGCTGTTCATGGTTCAGGGACTCCAGCTGCCTGGCCCTGAGTGCACCTCTGCTCCTGGGGCCTGTGGGACACCCTCCTGCTCCCACAGCCCCACCTGCCCCAGACTCCTGAGTCAGCTTGAGGCCTGGAGACACATCCAGACCCCTCCCCACATCCCTGGTCCAGGCTCCTCAACCAGGGCATCCTTGGGACCCCCAGGCTCAGAGGAATCACAGGGCTGGGATCAGGTAGTCAGGCAGAGTGTGTGTATCTGATTTGTGTCCAAGCAGCCACTACAGTGTCCACCACCACCACCACCACGACCACCACCATGACCACCAGCAGCATGACAACTACCACACCCACCACCACCACCCACCACACAGCACCGGTCTCCCCAGAAGAGGACAAAGTCCCCCCAACTGAAACCACTAGCAGGTAAGAAAGCTCTGTTGCTGCTGAGTCCTGTGCTTGGTGGGATAAAACCCCTCTGGGGGCCCCTTGTAGGCCCAGGTCCCGGTCAGCACTTGACTCCTGACCTTCTGGCTCCTTTGAGGGGGAGGGGGAGGGGCTTCCCCTTCTCTCCCAGCTGAGGAGGCCAGACTTGAACCCAGTGAGGGCGGGGTGGCTCCTCTTGGGGGTCAGAGGCAGGTGTGTCCTGGCCCCTCTCCTGCTTCTGGAATTGGGGCACCCCCAGTGTCCCCTGGCGTGTGACCCCTGCACCATCCATCCTGCTCCCGGGGCCTCTCCCTGCGGGTCCCTGGGCCTCTTTCCCTCTTATAAGGAACCAGTCACTGGACAGGGGCCCGCCCAAAGCGACCTCCTCACCTTGATGACACCTGCAAGGGTCTCCTGTCCAAGAGGTCACCCCCAGGTGTGGCCTGGACTGGGGGGGACACTAGTCCACCAGCGCTGGGCAGGAGGCCAGGGAGGCTTCTCCACGCCTGTTCCCACACAACACCGGGCCTTATTCACTCAACCTTCAGGTTTGCAAACATGTCTGCAGAGCCCAGTGGGGGCCTGCTCTGAACCCCTCCCCTTCACAGTTCTCCTCAGGGCCCCGAAGCTCTTCTATAAACCATGGTGGGTGCAGCGGGGGCATAGGGCAGGGCGCAGGGGAGGGGGCAGCGTGAAACCCAGGGGTGTGGTGCTTGGAGAGGACACAGGTGTCTCAGGCCTGGTGGGGACATGTCCATGTGGGGCCCCCACGGCCTCTCCTCAGTTCCCCAGGACACGTCCTGTGTCATCCTGCCTCACATGCACTCGGGTCAGATGCTCTCTGATGTCCCCAAACACCCAGAAGCTGGGAGCTGCCTCCCCAGCTGAGGGAGAAGGGAGGGTGGCCCAGGAGGGGGTCCAGACACTGTGGGGACACAGCTCCCAGGGTAGTCAGGATCCAGGTGAGTAAGGTCACGGGCACCATGATGGTTATGGGCAGACAGGGAGGAGCAGGAAACATAGAGAACCGAGGGGCAGGGTTTCCCACGGGCCGAGGCCACAGCGGCCTCTTCGGGGTGGCGTCGGGCAGGTCCTCTGAGCTGTGACCCGGATGTGCTGCTGACAGCCGATTTACATGCAGCAGCGGTTGTGGCGGGGGGTGGGGGGACAGGGACAACAGCCAGGGCAAAACTGACCAGAGGGCCTGGCTTGTGTCCAGGCTGGATGAGGACCAGGTGGAGGGACGTGTGGTGAGCACAGCAGGCCGGGGATGGAGCCAAGCTAATGGAGCAGGAGGAGCTGGAGGCTCAGCCTGGCACAGCATGATTGTGGCCTGTGGGGACTGTCTTGGCTGAGGTCTGCGGGGCTCAGCCTGATGGGCCCAGGGATTCCTGGGGGGAGGGCGCCCTGGAGGCTGCTCACTTCCTGTGTCCTGTCCCCCACAGCTCCCTGCTGGGCAGCGTCCACTTCCTGCTCCTGGTCTTCCTGAAGGTGCCCCTGCTCCTGGGCATGCTCAGTGCCGTCCTCTGGGTGCACCGGCCTCAGGGGGGCCATCGTGACACAGAGCCGGTGACCCCATGTTCATCAGTGTCTCCAGAGAGAAATCGTTTCAAATAGAAGAGCAGGCTCAGGGGCCCTGGGGGGGTCGGGGCCACCTGACCAGCCCCCACCCCAGGCAGTGCTCTGGCCCGGGACGCCCTGGACAGACGCAGACTCTCGGGCAGAGGAGATGACTTTCACCCCAGACTGAGACACAGGAACCTGCTCATGCTGCTCGCAGGAGACAGCCTGGACTGCGGGGAGCCCCCAGCTGCAGGGGACGGACCTGGGCTCTTCCTGCTTTGACAATCAACCCCCAACTTAAAATCAAGAAAAAAGTCACCCTGACATTCAGTCCCCACTCAGTCCTCCAAGTTCTCTCCCGCCACCCCTGTACCCCCTTACCTCGTCTGGTGCCCACTATTCCCAGCCCCTTCTCCACCAGATGCATTTTCTAGGACAAGAGCCAGGGCAGGTGGGCACAGGCTGCCCTGGTGCAGGCATCTTCCAGGTCCTGTCTTGACATCAAAAAATCCCAGGATGCCACAGACATGGTCCCTCCCTCCAGGGACCCTCACCCCTGAGGAATTCCCTGTCTAGAGCGGTTGGGACTAGTGATTGATTGGAATGAACTGGAGGGTTTCGCGCATCTGCATAATTTGGGTCCCTGCGCCCTTGCCAAGTCCTTTGCGTGTGGCCAGTGTCCTGTCTGCAGCTGATGAGGTGGACACACACCTGCAGCGTCTCCCTGCTGGACCTTGGAGCTGGGTCTATACCCGCGGGGGTAGGCCTTGCCGCCGTCTGCAGCCGCTCGCTGCCCCTCTGGAGAGGACTGTGCTTCTCCAGCCTGTGGGCTGTGGAAGTCGGGCTTGGCCATAGACCTGCTCTGGCCGGTGACATGTGAGCCTAAATGACAAGTGTCCCCTGAGCCAAGCTCCAGGAGCCTCTGTGTGGCCTCCCCTGTCTGTGCAGACGGGCTGCTCCCATATTGAGCACACAAGTAACACGCTCTAGAACTGAAACTCTGCCTGTGGGTCCTGCGCGCTGGGATCAGGCGTTTGTCTCAGCAGCGGCGCCTAGAAAAGGCTGGTGTCCGGCCTGCACTGGGGCTGTGTGGGACAAGGGTGGTGGGCGGCTGTCTGGGGAAGTGGGTAGCAGAGAGGCGGCAAACAGCCCTCAGGGCGCGTCCCCTAGATGCTGGGGAGTAGCTGGAGGCTCTGCCTTCAAAGAGCGATGGCGAGGGCAGGTGGAGAGGCTGACCGGCCTGTCACTGGTGGACGACAGACACTGACAGGGACAGGTCTGCCCCTGACAAAACTGCCTGAGCCGCCCTGCTCCATGGAGGCTGAAAGAGGAGACACATTTACCACCCCAGTTCCTGCCTCCTCCATCACACACACACACACACACACACACGCAAACACACATGGCCAGCTGCGTCCAGTGTGTGAGCGGAGAAGGAGCCGCTGCTTGGCCTCCCAGGAACATGAATCATGTGACTTGCCAAGTTGCACTTGGCTAAAAAGTGACAAAGTGAAACCGTCAACCACACCCTGCAAAGCACATTTGGGGGCAACAGTTTTCTTGAAGTTCTCTTTGAAGAGAAAATAATTTTCAGAAAGAATGTCATGAGGACTAGAGAAAATAAAGGCAAGAATATGACTATGAATCTTCGCACCTTTTCACGCACTGAAATCCCAGGGCCCTGCGGGGACAGTCGGTCAGAAGCAAATGGAAGCTCGTCAGCTGGAAAGTCCTTCTGCTCCCAGCGAGCCCCGTCCCTGGCCCGGTCAGCTCTGTGGGTGCTGAACACCCGGGGCAGGAAACCGCCCTCCACTGTGGCAGGGAGGTGGTGAGTGTGTGCTCATGCACACAAGTGCACCACACAGAACTGCTGCATACACAAGTGCACATGCATAAATGTATACATCCAGGTGCACACAACACACTCCAGTGCACACATACACAAGTGAACCCAATGCAACCATGTATACAGACAGGAACACATGTTCGTACACACACGTGTGCACACACAACTTCTGACAAGATGAGCCCTCCCACTACAGCAAAAAATGAACCAGCAAGACGTTTGTTTTCTGAAACATCTGATGAAGAGAAGGTGTTTGGCGACAGAATTTCAGGGTTTCCTGCTACAGGATCTACGTTCCCGGGGGAGGTGCTCCCACTTGCTGCCTGAGTAAACCGTGGCCCTGTTGTTACCGGCACGTTTCCTGTTGCTGCTCACAACCTTTCCCTGCCCTGAGATGCTTGGCTGCTCAGCCACACAGGTTGATGAGAGTCTGAGGATGGTCAGTCGAGTTCTACGCAGAGCTGAGGACACTCACGAGCACGTGAACAAGTCAGGGACCCCTTCAAGGGTGTCGGGTCTGGGGGCTCAGAAGACAGACCCTGCTCACTATCTGCACCACCCAGGGCCCAGACAGGGCTGACTTCAGGGGTTCACCCCCGTGTTAAGTGTGGGGATCATCCACACTTAAAGGGTCCCACACAGGGTCTCATGCGCCCTCATCGCCACCTTGCAACTCAAAAATCTGGAACCAGAGCATTTTCGTTGGGCGCTGGGCCCTGCCCGTAGCTGACCCTGTCCTGCCGGGACTGTGCTCTGGAGCAGGGAATGGATTTTCATAACGGGGCAGACTAGCTGGGAAATCCAGTGGAAATGAACCCATATTGGGGTGGCATCGGGGTCGAGCGTGCTGAGCAGGGCGGCTGCCTGTGAGCTGGGGGGGAACAGAAGGGGCACGACCTTCCCGGCCACAGAGACGGGAAGTGCAAGTTCAGATGTGTGTGTGAGGATGGACCTTGGTGAGGTTTTCAGTCCTGTCTCAGCTGACCCCGCGATGCCCCAGCTCCAGATTCCCGTATTTTCTGACTCTGAGAACAGACCAGGAAGAGGCTGAAAAGGAAGTGGCAGAGCCAGCAAGGGCAGAAGAGGGAGCCAGGTGAGGCTGGAGGCTCAGCCCCAGGCACTGGAAGAGCACCAGGATGAGGAATAAGTGGTCACATGTGTCCCAGAGAGAGAGCACCTAAGTGAAAGTGGCCACTTGGGTCATCGCCACCATCGGTACGAACATCAGGAGCACCCCAGGGACAAGGGGTTGGGGAACAGTCAGAGAACAAGACTAACTGGACTGTCCACTGTATTACCCATTCCCCGGTTATCTTATCTTTATCACACTCCTTCCTGAGAGAAGTAGACTCAGAAGGTGTGAAAAATTGTTTAGCTATAGCAAAGATTTGGCACAGCAAAGATTCAAGCCCAGAACTTTATTTCCAGGGTCAAGGATGTTTTGAATAGGATGTCAATACCACTAAGCCTCCTGGTGACCATCCATTATGTGCTCCCAGCCCCCGAAACACCTGCATTGTGGGGCCCTGTGCCCCACAGGTGGGGATGGGTTTGGGGGCACTATACTGGGGTCTCCTGGAAGTTCAGTCTTCTGGAAACAGAGATCCCACGAATGGTGCAGAGGAGGAAGCCCAAGTTTCTTTGTGCAGCCACAGGGGGCAGGGAGCTTACTCTGGGTGTGGCGCAGGCTGGGGACCTGCCCAGGCTGGCTCAGGCCAGGGGCCTGGTGGAATAGCAGGGGGAAGGGAGGCTCTGGCATAACTCAGTGTCCCTGACAAGCTTCCCCATTCAGCCCAGAGGAAGCAGCCCCCACACCCTCGAGGATGGGGTTTGAGTTAGTGAAAGCTTAAACTAAGTCCAGGTCCTCTCTTGTTAGATATGTGGGAATCAGCGCCCCTAGAGCCTGAGCCGGGAACTGCAGCGATTGAGGGGTGCTCTGGGCTGTCCTCCCTGCTGCCTGCACCCCGGGCTGTGTCCCTTTGGGCAGCTTCTGCTCCTCCCCTCAGCGCGCCGCCTTGGAGGGGTCATTGTCGACCTGTGTGCCGTGCGGTGCTCGGGCCTCTCTGGACTGGCCGGCTCAGGGTCCCTGGTGACGCCCTCCCGGGAGAGTGACCCGAGCGTCCTCAGACACCCCGGGTGCCCAGGCGGGGGGGTGGGGGCGCGTGGCCCGACTGAGCCGCTGCTCGGGGGTGTCGGGGACAGGCAGATGGGCTCGGAGCCACACAGGTCCAGGGCCACTGGAGCTGCTTGCTGGGAAATACAGTGAGAAAAGGGAAGATGTTTACAGTGAAGAAGCCGAACAATCATGTTTTGCTTTGAGTTTTAGAGTCAAGTTGGCGGAAATGACCATCGCGATGCTCAGGGCAGGTGAGCTTGCTCCGTTCATCTGAACTCGGTGTGGGCAGCACTGGCAGAAGGTCCTTGGGGTTCAGGGGTGTTTTCTGAGAAGATGCTCTGGTGAGGGGCGCAGACGGCAGAGAGAGGAGCAGACCTGGGACATGGAGCCGGGTCAGGCTCTGGGCGCGGCCCTGACCACAGCCGCCACCCCTGCCGGGCCCTGGGCTGCAGACACGCCTCTGCGGGGTCTGCTCTGGCTGCGTCTCCCCTCGGGTCGGGGTTTGGGGCGAAGATGCTCGTGGGGTCAGGGCAGGGGACCCGGGCGGGGTTTTGTGTCTGGCCCATTGGCAGGTTGCTGGAGAGGAGAGAGGACAGAGGGGACTTGCTGCCCCGTAGACACAGACAGTGAACGACAAGGAAGAGTCGAGCAGCCTCTCCGAGGGGGAATTGCAGGTTTAGTTTGTAAATTCTCCCCCGGGAGGGTAACACGGGGACAGGAAGTGCTGCCCCTCATCACCACCACCCAGGGCAAGTTCTGGAAGCGAAAGTGTTTGGGTAGACGTCGGGGTTCAGACATCGGGGTTCAGTGCGTGGGGTTCAGCCCTCTGAGAGTGAGTGCAGGGTGAGCGCCTCCTGAGAGGAGACGCTGCAGCACGGGCGGGCAGCCTGAGACAAGAGCTCCCCGGGCAAGGTCCCTTTGACCGAATCATCATGGAAATGATCTTCTGCACTTCGAAGATCCATAATCCTCCCTGTCCCAGCTTCTGCCTGAAAACCTTTTCTGACCCCACCTCAGATTCCTGGAACTTCCAGAGCCAGAAGGAGCTGGGTCCACAGGCAGAGCCCCTGGGCTCTGGAGTCAGGGCATCCCGAGCCCTCCGTGCCCCCAGCCAGGCCAGAGGGTGGACGGGTCTGGCCCCGCCCCAGCACCGTCCAACTTGACCAAGGAAGTGACATGTCAGAGGGGAGGCCACCCCACGAGGAGGAAGAGCCACTTGTCTGCTGTTCTGCATGACAGTGAGACAGGGGTCCCCCATCCCTGCCCTGACTCTAGGATAGAGGAGCCGGGGCACATCCTGGGTCTACACCGCCTGCCTGAGCTGCTGCTCCCAAAGCTCCTGCCCTGATCAGCCCTGAGCAGCCCTGACCAGCCCCAGGCAGTGGGTGGGGGTTGGGGAGGCACGAAGAAGCAGAGAGGCCAGAAAGCAGAAGTGGGGCCCAGGGATCCCTCCTCTGCACGGAGGCCCAACCTTGCCCCTGTCCAGGGCCCAGAGCTGCTGCGGGTGGCGTCCGTGCTGCAGAATGACCCGGAGGGACAGGGTGGCCTGGCTGCCCCTGGCTCTGCTCCTTCTCCAAGTCCCAGGTGAGGACTGGGTCTGCGAGGTTGGGAGGGGGCGGAGGAGACCAGCGGGGTGAGCTCCCCATGGGAGGGGCACATGGGAAGGAAGGGAAGCAGAGAAGCTTCCAGAATTGCCTAGCACTTGCCTCAGCAGTGACAGGAGGATTCAGTCCTTAAGCAGGCGAGTCTGGTCCACTGCACTGGACACTGGACACTGCACTGAGTTAGGGGCTGTGAGTCAGACCCATCGTCGCAGTGAGACATGTGCCTGGTGCGTCTCAACAACACACACACACACACACACACGCTGCACACCCACCACATAGAGCCACATCACACCACACACACACACACGCCCCACACTACCGTACACAGTGGCACCACACACATAAGTCCCATGCTCATGTATACTACATACACGTGTACAGGTGGACACACACGCCATCCACATAACCCCTCACTACACACATATACGCCCCACACACACAACATACCACACATAGACAAAGGTACATAACACACACACCACACAAAGACCACAGACACACAGACACACACACACAGTCAAGTGCACACTCAGTTTTCCCCCGCCCTGGCCCCTCTCATCTCCACGGACACCTCCCCTACCCCACCTCTCTCTGAGCCCCCCAGGAGATGGGAGTGGCCCATCTCCTGCCTGGGCCGCCAGACACCAGGGCCCTGGGAATCGGCACCCCAGGCCCAGCCCGGCCGCCCACGGAGGAGGGGGCATGTGTTTTCCAGGCTGTTGGTGTCTGGGTGGCCCCCGCATGGTGACGGGCTCCGTGGGCAGATCCCTGAACGTGACGTGTCACTACGAGGACAAATACGCAGGACATGTCAAGTACTGGTGCAGAGACTCATGTTGGACCTCTCAGAAAAAGATCGTGGAGACCAGCAAGTCAGAGAGAGAAGGGAGGAGCGGCCGCGTGTCCATCAGGGACCATCCAGCCAACCTGACCTTCACAGTGACCGTGGAGAACCTCACGGAGGCTGATGCAGGAACGTACTATTGTGGGATTGACACAGTTTTATCATTCAACCCCACGTTCCGGGTTGAGGTGTCTGTGTCCCCAGGTGAGTCCTAACCCCCACCCTCATACCAACCCCGGGTCTTCCAAGGAGGTAGCTGATGTGAGATGGGTGTGTCAGGCCTGAGGCTTCCCTGCTGTGTGGGGAGGGGAATCTCTGATCAGGGGACAGGCTGCCTCCTGTCCTCACAGGGCCCTGACCCTCTGAGGGGGACTGCGAGTTGCCCCCTGGGCCTCTCATAATTGTCCCTATGGGAGGCACGGGGCCCTGTCACCCCCAGGCGGCCTGGGACCCGGGGTGCTGAGAAGACCTCACTGAGTCTGGGAGGTTCCTGGGGCGCCAGCCTCCCAGCCAGTGTCTTGGGGTCTCCTGTAGCCTTGGGGGGCTGAGAAGGAGCCCAGGCCTCTTGTGGACCTCTGTGACCTTGGGGGCCATCCTGTTCCCTCTCTTTCTCTGGCACCTGTGCCCACAGGGGAACCCAGAGAAGTACCTGGAACTGCTCCCCTGGACACGGGAGATGGGGGATGAGAACACGGGCTTTGGGGTTTGTGGCCCCAAACTGCATCCGGATGCAAATGTTCTCCTTGGCGAGAACCTGAGTCCCTGAGACCGGAACAGACTGCCTGTGCCCAGTCAGGGCCTCGGCTCTGCCCACCGACCCGCCTCTGCCCCTCCTGCCACTTTAGCTCCCCCCGTGGAGGTTGCCCCAGTGTTTCTGCTTGAGGGGGAGGCGCTGACCCACTGACATGGGCTGGAGGGGAGACTGGTCTGCTGGGCTCAGCGCAGGCCCTGCTATCTGGGTACCCCTGTGTCCCCACCCCAGAGAGGGCACCCAGGGGCCACAGGCTGGGCTGACGGGGGCTGAGCAGACAGGCAGAGGCTCACAGCTGGGAGCACAGAAGCCACAGAAGTTCCTGCTCCCAGCTCCTGAGGCTGGGAACCCGATCAGGAGTCAGCAAAGTGGAGGGAGGGGGTGGTTCTGGGGTTGCAGACTTTTGCCCTCACTGGGCAGAGGGGCCAGGAGTCCCCTGACCTCATATAAGGCTCTAAGCACTAATGAGGGGCACTCTCACGGCCTAAGCACCTCGTTCCTCACCCCATCCCCAATGCCTTCCTGTCCCTCCGAAAACCACCACGCTGAGTCTTATATGTTCAACACGTGAGTGTGGGGCACCTACATGCAGACCCCAGCACGTAGGACGGGATTGGGGTCCCATCTCTGGGGAGCCCTGTGCATGACCCTGTTCCTGACCTCACAGCAGCCATCAGCCAGGGTGGCCCTTGTGCTTGGGTCAGCTCCTGCCCTCTGTCACCCTGTGTCCGGCGGGGAGGGGAGGGGAGAGGCGGGCTGGGCCGGCAGACTCTGAACCCCCTGCTGAGCAGGGCGACCCACCTGGCCAGGTGCACCTGGTGGGCCTCTGTGAGGCGGGAGCAGGAGATGGCCAGACCCAGAGCTAGCCATTGGAGGGTGTCAGGGGCCTCGGTGACCTTGACGGTGTGAGTCACAGGTGACGTGACGGGAGGCATGGAAGGAGGACGCCAGCCTGACTTGTGCTTCTGCCTCAGCCCCCAGGAGAACCCCCAGTCCTGTGGTCACCACAAGCACCCCCGGTTCTCAGGGGGCACCGTCAGCATCCAGCTCAACCACCGAGATCTGGCGAGAGACTCTGGGTCCCAGCCAGCACCCCGGGTAAGGGGACAGCCTCCATCCAGGGCAGACCAGGGGGCACTGATTTCCAGACAAGATGGGGGGCTGTGGTCGGTGCCTCCCTTCAGCCTGGACCCTCATTTATTTACCATCCCACACCTGGCTGAGGAGGGCCTAATGGTTAATTAGCAGGCGCTCTTCTGTAGGTACAGCTGGGAACCCCAGATACAGCCCTGCTCTGACGCAAGTGTGGTCGAGGGGAAACCCCAGGAATGATCCACTCTGGGCCCCATGAGAAGGGGAGTGGGGAGGGTGCTCACGGAAACACGCCACTTGGGCTGTGGGGAGCAGGCGGGGACAGGAGGGGGAGCTGAGCTTCTTAAGGGAGAATTGAGGCGAGGAGGGGGGAGGGGACTTTGAGTTGAGGACCTAAAGGGCTTGGCCTGGCAGTCAGTTATCTGCAAAGTGGGGTTCAAGCAGAGGGAACAGTGAGTGCAAGTCCTGTCAACGGAGCCTGGACGACCCCCCCAGCCAGCATAGCAGGCAGATCGGGGTCAGTGGTCTCTGCTCCCTGTTCCCCCTCCCCAACACCTGTCAGAGGGAGCCCTCTGAGGGAGGTGAGAGCAGCACCCCAACTAGGAAGGGTTGATGAGTCACAGGCTGCTGGCAGGTGCCAAGTCCTCACTGGGATAAGACAGTCCCATCCTCCCCGGGAAGGGCTGGCACCTGCACAGATATCACACACCCCTATTCCTGATTCCCATACCCCAGATGGGGGACCCCCGATGTGAGGGCTTAGGTGGAACTCCGGATGGTGAGGTCCCCCAAGGTTTCTGGGTCCCTGCATCATTCTAGTGGCCCTGCCCTACTGTGCACAAGTGCTAGGTCTCAAGGAGATGGTGAGCAGGGGTCAGGGGGACTTTGTTTGGGGTCCTCAGCCCAGGATTGTGTTTATGTGGTTGTTGTGGCAACAGGACATGGGCACAGGGATGGAGGAATGGGGGCACCGGGCTCCCCCGAGGAGGCTGCTCATCTCCTGTGTCCTGTCCCCCCACAGCTCCCTGCTGGGCAGCGTCCACTTCCTGCTCCTGGTCTTCCTGAAGGTGCCCCTGCTCCTGGGCATGCTCAGTGCCGTCCTCTGGGTGCACCGGCCTCAGAGGCGCCTTGGGGGGAGGCAGAGTCAGCCTGACTACAAGAACCAGGGACACTGATGCCTCCGTGCTGCCTGGGGACAGGTCCCTCTGTCGGGTGGACACAACCTCTGGCCAATAAATCCACCATCATGGTCTGCAAGTCTGTAGGCGTCTCGTGAACGTCTCCCCGCTTTTGTGTGTGTTAGGCCTTAGACCCCTCATCGACACATGCCCTCTGAGCTCTGGTACCCCCAAACTCAGGGGCCACTGATGCCGTGGGCAGCGTCACCAGGACCTCTACTCCCGCTGCTCCCGGGTCCTCGATTCATCTTCCTCGCCCACACCCAGGGCTGGTATCCAGTGTGAGGTTCCCGGACAGCTGAGCCTCTGACAGAGCAGACTCGGGGCACCGGGGCCACTGAACCAGAGGAGCCGAGACCTCACGCTCACCCTGAAGTCAGGGGCTGCTCTCACGAGGACAGAGACTGGGGCTTATGACACACAGACGTTGCCATCGCCGACCCCGGGGTGCTAGTCCAGGACCAGGGTGCATCTGCCAGGATCTGCGGACACCCCCTTTGGACCTGGTGCTGGCTTCCTGCCCAACCTCACATAGCAGGAGGGGGAGGGGCTCCTTTATGAAGGTGCCAACCTTATTGCATCAGCATTATGGTCTCACTCACGACTCCTGGAGCAGGTGCTGTTGGGTTAGAATGTGTGTCTGTGTTTGGTCTCAGGCCCCATCATGCAGCTGCCCTCGGGATCCTGGACACTCACTTCACTGAGAGCCTTAAGATGTCTCTGCACGTCCATGAGGGGCTCTTAGAGCTGCTTGGGTTGACCTCCAGTTTGGCCCTGATTCTGGGTGGGGGAAGGGACCAGTCACCAGTGACCAAAAGTCAGTCAGTCATGGCCCCACAGTCAGCCTCCAAATATCTCAGAGTTGGGGACACAGAGCTCGTCCAGGCTGGGGTCCCCTGTTACCCTCCAAGCTCCTGGAGGACAGAAGCCCCACTCTGGCTCTGTTCATCTGGCTCTTAATTCCTGTCTCCCGGCCTCCTTGCCGGGCGTCTGCCGCCCCAGAGGGAGCTGAGTTCTCTGAGAGCACCTGGGAGGGAGGGGCAGTGGGTCAGGCTCAGGGGACATGCCCCAGGGCAGGAAGGGGGTCTCCTGCTCTGGGTGGGGGTGCTGAAGAGGGTTTGGGATGGGCTGTTCCTCAGGAGGGGGAGGGCCCTGAAGGCTGTGTCCCCCAAGGTGAGGTCCAGTGGGTCTCCAGTCTCCCTTTGCCCGGCTCTCCTCTCTCCATGTCCCTCACTCAGCTGTGGGGTCCCCCCCGGCAGAGAACCTGTGCCCCTCCTGGACAAAGCTGCCTCTGGGCTCCTTTCCTTTCCCATCTCCATGAAGGTCTTGATTCTCACACCTGAGGTCAGCGCCCCAGAGAACCTCCCTCTGCCCTAATATGTCAAGAGGGAAGTCCCTGCAGATGTGGAGACAGTGATGAGGGTGAAACTGAAAGGAGAGTCTCCGGGTCCCTGGACTCTGAAGCAGACTCAGGGTCCCTCCTGCGCTGGCCTCAAGGGCTTGAAGGGACGGCGCCTGTCAGCAGGGATGGGAGAGCAGCTGGCGTGTCTGCTCCCGGCCCTGCTCCTGCTCCTGGCCCCAGGTGAGGGGGGCTGGGCCTGGGATGGAGGCTGCGGGGCTGGGGCAGGACACAGGGTCTGTGGGGCGGGGACGCACCAGGGGACAGGGCAGGGCCATCCTCCCTGCAGACTCTCCCTCCCTGGGGAGGACCCCGGGTCTCTCACAGGCCCTACCGTGCTGGGACAGAGGGCACCGGCCGGCAGAGGCGCCCTGAGGGCAGAGCCTGGTCCTGGCTGGGGGCCCAGGGTGAGGGGTCCCGAGGGCCCAGGCCTGCTCTCTCCTCAGGAGCAGGTCTCAGCGCAGGGCAGGCCTGTCAAGGAGGCCCAGGCTCTGAGGGCTGAAGGGGCCCCCGGACCTCAGCTGCCAGGAGCTGGAGCCCATGAGGGCACAGGCAGGGGAGCGGCAGCTGGGGTCTATTGAGGCTCAGGGCACATGTGGCGCCTGAGTTCTGCTCTGGAGGTGCCAAAGCCCAGAGCTGGTCCATGGGGTGAGGGCAGCAAGCCAGGCTCCTACTGTCACAGGGTGGTGCCCAGGAAAGGGGAGTTCCAGGGTCCCTGCCCCACCCAGAGGAGTGGGGAGCTGAGCAGGGAGGAGGAGAAGCTGGAGAGGAGCCTGGGGAAGGAGGGAGCAGGATGGGGCCAGGAGGAGACCTGGAGGAGGCCCAGGGAGCAGAGAGACACGTGAAGAAACTGCGCTTGCTTCTTGTCCTGGGCTGGGTGACGCAGAGGCGGGGGAGAGACCCGCGGGGAGGTGACAGTGGCAGCTTTTATCTTGACTTGATTTTGCTCTTTTCCTCCCAGACTTGTCTGTCTGTGCTGACCCTTTTCTGTGGGTCCCCGCTGGAAGGTGCTTTAGACTGTGGCAGCTCTCGGGCCTCACTCTGGGCCAATCCCCTTTGCGGGACTTTTACCCACGAGGGGACGGGCAACTTCGGGTGCTAATTTAGAAGCTATATTCTTTGTTTTTCTGTATTGTTTACTCATGTATTAAATTTCCTTTCCATGAAACATCTTATATGTTTTGTTTCAATGTGGCAGATGGCAGACCTATTTAGGCAGGCAGGTTTAGGGTTTCTGGGGTGCCTCCTCCATGCCCTGTAACAGTGAGGGGGGAGCCCACAGGAAGAAGGGAAGTGGCTGGTGGGGTGAGCCATCAGAAGTGTCAATTTTGGGCGGTGTCATGGCCAGGGGTGCTGGATGCTGAGACAGATAGAAGCTGGGGGGCCATGCCAACAAGACTCTGCTGCTTCTGATCCTCCCTGGGGCCCCTGAGGACCCACAACCTCAAATCTGGGGGAGAAAGCAGAGTCTCTTCTAGAAGGACGTGCAATGGGAAATGAAATGACCATTTATTTATTCATCTTGAGCTTGATCATCACGTAAGGGGAGAAAAAACTCTGAAAAGCAGACATGTATGCCCAAAATTCACTTTATAAACTCTTTATTATGTCACTTTTTAAGTCAGTATAGCTAAAGGGGCTACATGTGTGCATTATTCAAGAGGCTGCATTATTCAAAACTGAGTGGCTTTAGTAATGGATGCTTAATATCTTTAAAATAAATATAGTCTTTTATAAGATTCATTTTTATTTATTTATGCATATAAGAACTGGCGTGTGTGCCAGAGGTGCAGGGGGTGAGAGGATTCACCTGAGACAGAGTGGGGAGCAGAACAGGTGGATCTCCTGGAACACACTGCTGAGGGGAGCAGCAGGCAAGACAGGAGAGGTCTGCTGCGCCATGTGGGTCAGCTCCCTGGCTGGGGATTGAACTCTTGCCTCAGTGGCTGTGATAGCTGAGACTTAACCCCTTGACTACCAGGGAGGGCCTAACATAAATATAATCTTAATTCAGGATCATATATATGTCTTGTGCGTTAAACCTTTTGTCTCTCTAAGATTTCTTTGTGTGTGTGTTATTTATCTTAATTATTTCTCCTATGACTATTACTAGGTGTTTAATACACCATAGGTCACTAGGATGGAGCTCGCTTTTACTTGATTTTCAATATTTCTATTTGGCATACAGAGGAGTCGTTGAAATACACGTACAAACCTCACAATTGAATTTAATTATGAACTAAAACGGTTTTAATTTAAATCTTTCTCCACTGTTGTCATTTTCTTTTAATAAACATAAATTTTATGTTTTTCCTTGTCTCACGCTCCCGGAATCACCTGACAATAGTATTGGGAACCCTGTTTGTTCAGGATTTAGGCTGGAGTGACTGTAATATGTCCTTGCTCAGCACAACTCGGCTTTGGGGTTATATATACCCACAAGTTATTTTAATAGCAGAAAATAACGTGTCTGCAGAAAAGTGCATGAAACACCAATGTCCATGATGAGCAATGTATTGAGCGCGCACCAGTTTCCACAATAATCCTGGCATGTGAAGTGTGTGATCCCTGACCTTCCAGGAAAGGAGGTTCTGTGTTTTCACTAAGGCCTTTAAAACCCAAGGGCGTGGGGCCTGCTCTGTGGCCTGGGCCAGGAGGGTGACCTGGGGGCTCCCTGGGCCAGAGGCGCTCCCTGCCCCCCGAGAAGGTGAGGAGGTGACCTGGATCAGGCCCAAGAGCTGGTCCTGACACGCGTCTGCCGGCCGTGCTGCCCTTGGGCGAGGGCTGGGCATGGGGCAGACACAGGAGCCTGTTGTCTGGGGTCCACCTGGGAGAGGAGACGCCTGGTCCCCTACCCGCTGTGAACCCCCCGGGTCAGTGACCATGAGGCTGTTATTGACGAGGAGAATCACAAGGAAGGACAGAGTGGGAGCCCACTCGGGGTTGAGGAAAAAATAAAAATGAAAGATTTATAGCCTCTGCAGCAGTCCCTGGCCAGGGAGCTACCACATGGTGCAGCAGACCTCTCCTGTCTCCCCGCTGCTTCCCTCAGCAGTGTATTTCAGTCAGTCCGCCTGTTCTGCTCCCCAATCTGTCTCTGGTGAATCCTCTCACCCCCTACAACTCTGGCCTGTACCCCACCTCTTGTATGCACAAATATATAAACCTTAAGAAAAGTTTCTGTTAAGGGATACGAAAAAAAAAAAAAACAGCCAGGACTGGATCCTTTGTCCATCCTCAAACATCAGTCTTTTGAGGGGAGCTACATGAACCCCAAAGAGCTAACTGACTCTCTTTCTCAGCTCTTGCTTGAGTCATTCCCACTGGGTGTAACAACATCTGCCAGCACGGGGAGGCACGAAGGGGCAGCTGTGTCATGCCTGACCCTCCTACTCTCACAAGCCCGCCTGGCTTGGAGCTTGTGATGGGAACCGGCAACATTCCTTGGGGTACGTGGCCCCCGTGTGACATGGACCCACAGCGTGTGTGGCCACTGGGCAGCAGTGCCCGGTCAGCACCACAGCTGTTCCCGTAGCTGCATTACCAGGGAACCACTAGGAGCACAGAGCCACGGGGGCACACCCACTCTAGGGGTGCAGGGGCATCAGTTGCACCTCCCGGGCCCTGGTGCGGGCCAGGCACAGGCCTCTTCTGGGAGGCAGGTCCTCTGGGGTTTGCTTCCCATCAGCAGGAACAACATAGGGTTGGTACAAAGGGGCCTTGCTGGGGATACAGATTCACTGACAATGGTGGGGGTGGCATGTGAATCTGGGGGCTGTCATTGCTCAGGGCCAGCATCTCTGCGTCTCTGACTCTGAGCTGTGTCTCAGGTGCTGTTCCCGGGGCTTTGCCCAGTGGGATGTAGAAGGACACAGGCCTCTCTCCTGGGGGTCATTCCCTCCATGGCTGTGTCCACCTCCCTGCCCTTGGGCTGAGGGGGCAGGTGCAGGGCAGGGGGCTGGGCCTGTGTGCAGGTGGGGTCACAGGGGCATGGACGTGTTTTTTCCAGGCTCCTCTGACGTCACGGGTCCAGGCGCAGTGAAGGGCTGGGAGCGGGGCTCGCTGACCGTGTGGTGTCGCTATGGCCGAGGCTACGAGACCCACAAGAAGTGGTGGTGTCGAGGGGCTCACTGGGGCAGCTGCAACATCCTTGTTCGAACCACCGGCTCGGAGCAGGAGGTGAAGAAGGGCCGCGTGTCCATCAGGGACCATCAAAGAAACCGCACGATCACCGTGACCATGGAGGCGCTCACGCGGGACGATGCGGACACTTACTGGTGTGGGGTTGAGAGAGAAGGACATGACCTTGGGGCCCAAGTTAAAGTGACCGTTGACCCAGGTGAGCGCCTGTGCATGTGGCTGTGTCTCCGCGGTGCCTGCTCGGAACTGGTCCCTCAGGTCCTCCCCAGGGGTCACTGTCACTAAGGGTGACTGTCCCAGAGGGGGAGCCTCACCCGGGGGCGCTGGGAGGGGGGCTTCTCCCGGATGCTCAAGGCTCCAGGCCCCTCCTGGACAGGAGGATCCTTGTCGCTCACTGTCCCACTCTGTGTGGCTCAGCCCCTCTTTCCATGGTCACAGAGGTCAGGTGATGCCCTGGTCAGCTCATGGACAAATGACCCCCTTCACGGGGCTCAAGACCCCAATTCCTGCCAATGATTCCCGGGACCTCCCTGCTCTTTCTGGAGTTTGGGCTGAGACCTCATCGTGACTGTTTCCACCCAAGCTCCATGTCCAAGCAGGGGACAGCCCGGCACAGACCATGGCTCATTCCTGAAGCCTGGAAACATCTTTATAACCAATGGGCCACATGTCTGGGGCCTGGAATCCAACCATGAACTATTTATGCCCCAGGACATAGGGTGTCCTTTCCAGTCTTTCTAGAAAGCAGACACCGTGGGAGAGCCTGCTTCAGGGTCCAAAAGCCTGGATTTGAAGTGGTTAATCTTGGGCCTCCCCTCCTGCTAAGTGCCCCCTCCCCCCCGCTCCAGGGCACTTGTGGCAAAGCAGGGAGCACCAGGGTCAGCAGAGCCTCCACCACCCCTCATACCTGGGAGGCAGGTCACGCTGCAGGCGTAGCCGTTCACCATCTCCTGGAATCCTGACCTCATCCTGGGAAGGGCCGAATGTCACAGAAGGTTCACCACTTGCCCAGTCTTGCCAGGTCTCCCTGGATTGAGTCACACACTGGTCTGCCACCAATGGGCAGCCCTGCTCTGCTCTGTCCTCACTGCAGGATGAACAGAGGGTTCTGGGGGGACTTAGGAGCAGCAGGGCTGTTTATGGTCGGGGACTGCAGCTGCCTCCCCTGAACACCCTGGCCCTCTGCTCCCTGGGCCTGCAGGATGCCCTCCTGCTCCCACAGCCCCACCTGTCCCCAGGTTTGTGAGTCTGCTTGAGGTCCGGAGAAATGAGAGGTCCAGCACCAGACCCCTCCCCACAGCCTTGCTCCGGGCTCCACAGGCCAGGGAAGCCCTGGACCCCAGGCCAGTGGGGAGAGCAGGACTGGGGGAGGGCAGGTTGGCAGGCAGAAATATTTATCTGATTTGTGTGCCAAGCAGCCACTACAGTGTCCACCACCACCACCACCTCCTCCTCCACAGCGCCTGTCACCCCAGAAGAAGACAAAGGCTCCCCGACTATACCCGACAGCAGGTAAGCCAGCTCTGATGCTGCTTAAAGGGTCCCACGCAGGGTCTCATGCGCCCTCATCGCCACCTTGTAACTCAAAAATCTGGAACAAGAGCATTTTTATTGGGCGCTGGGCCCTGCCCGTAGCTGACCCTGTCCTGCCGGGACTGTGCTCTGGAGCAGGGAATGTTTCCTAACGGGGCAGACTAGCTGGGAAACCCAGTGGAAATGGGGTCGAGGGTGCTGAGCAGGGCGGCTGCCTGGGAGCTGGGGGGAGCAGAAGGGGCACGACCTTCCCGGCCACAGAGACGGGACGTGCAAGTTCAGATGTGTGTGCGAGGATGAACCTCGGTGAGGTTTTCAGTCCTGTCTCAGCTGACCCCGCGATGCCCCAGCTCCAGATTCCCGTATTTTCTGCCTCTGAGAACAGACAGGAAGAGGCTGAAGGCGAAGTGGCAGAGCCAGCGAGGGCAGAAGAGGGAGCCGGGTGAGGCTGGAGGCTCAGCCCCAGGTGCTGGAAGAGCACCCGGGGCCACGCGGCCCTGTAGCTGTCACCAGCTCCTGCTGCTCTGTGCCCAGGTGGGCGGACTGGGTCTGAACACAGGACACTGCTCCAGCAGATCCAGCTGGGAAAAAGGGTGGTGATGGGGGGTGGAGATGAAGCTGTAGGGAACCCCTCACTTGCCCTGTTCCCCCTGAGGGTAGGATGAGGACTAAGTGGCCACATGTGGCCCAGAGAGAGAGCACCTAAGTGAAAGTGGCCACTTGGGTCATCGCCACCATCGGTACGAACATCAGGAGCACCCCAGGGACAAGGGGTTGGGGGAACAGTCAGAGAACAAGAGTAACTGGACTGTCCACTGTATTACCCGTTCCCCGGTTATCTTATCTTTATCACACTCCTTCCTGAGAGAAGTAGACTCAGAAGGTGTGAAAAATTGCTTAGCTATAGCAAAGATTTGGCACAACAAAGATTGAAGCCCGAAACTTTATTTCCAGGGTCAAGGATGTTTTGAATAGGATGTCAATACCACTAAGCCTCCTGGTGACCATCCATTATGTGCTCCCAGCCCCCGAAACACCTGCATTGTGGGGCCCTGTGCCCCACAGGTGGGGACGGGTTTGGGGGCACTACACAGGGGTCTCCTGGAAGGTCAGGCTTCTGGAAACAGAGATCCCACGAATGGTGCAGAGGAGGAAGCCCAAGTTTCTTTGTGCAGCCACAGGGGGCAGGGAGCTTACTCTGGGTGTGGCACGGGCTGGGGACCTGCCCAGGCTGGCTCAGGCCAGGGGCCTGGTGGAATAGCAGGGGGATGGGAGGCTCTGGCATAACTCAGTGTCCCTGAGGAGCTTCCCCATTCAGCCCAGAGGAAGCAGCCCCCACACCCTCGAGGATGGGGTTTGAGTTAGTGAAAGCTTAAACTAAGTCCAGGTCCTCTCTTGTTAGATATGTGGGAATCAGCGCCCCTAGAGCCTGAGCCGGGAACTGCAGCGATTGAGGGGTGCTCTGGGAGCCCTCCCTGCTGCCTGCACCCCAGGCTGTGTCCCTCTGGGCAGCTTCTGCTCCTCCCCTCAGCGCGCCACCTTGGAGGGGTCATTGTCGACCTGTGTGCCGTGCAGTGCTCGGGCCTCTCTGGACTGGCCGCTCAGGGTACCTGGTGACGCCCTCCCGGGAGAGTGACCCGAGCGTCCTCAGACACCCCGGGTGCCCGGGCGGGGGCTGGGGACACGTGGCCCTGCGATGCGACCTGTCCATTTCTTCTTTTGCTCAGTCATTCTCGGATTCCCTTCGGTCCCTCACTCCGAGCCATTGGCTGCATTTCCTAATTTCCTTTGGTGTTCTTACCCTAATGGTCCTTGTGCTGTGTGTACTTTTTCCCGTGTGTTCTAGGCTCGTTGCAAGAGCCGTTTCTGGATTGAAACGTCATATCTACACCATGCAGCTTAAAACAAAAAAAACAGGGGGAACTGCGGTGCCCCCTCCCGCGGCAGAACTCAAGTGACCACAATCTGGTCCTTGATGTTCGGCATGGTCAAGGCACCGAGCACGCGGGAGGTACACCTTGAACCCCGAGAAGATGGCTGCTGATCGTCGTCATCATCTTATTAAGTATGTTTTCATTGTTGCCCAGCAGTATGAGTTACTTATTAGCTGTTTGTTCTGTGACTCCCAATAGTCTGCCTTGTGATGCTGTCCTGACTGTATTTTTTCCTGTGAAACACTAATCTACCTTATTTCGTGATAGGGTCTGAGATGAGAATCATAAGTTAACAATGATAAGCATCAAAGAATGTGGTCAGTAAACCTCCCCCAACAGCTAACACCCCACCAAAAAATATTTGATGATGTTGGAAAAAGTCCATGGCAACCCCTTCAAGGGGGTCCCGAGGAGAATGTAATTAAATATGTGTTCCTACTACCAAAACTAGTTCATGATTTAAAACTTGGGAACAGAATCAATGAGTCAGGGTCACCACGGACTCTATATCCTCTACAAATCAAAACTAATATTTCAAAATGGTTTTAGTAAATTCATAGGTCATTGAAATTTAGAAGCATGAAAAGAAGTTAACAGGGAAATCGAGGCACTTAAATTAAAACTAGCAGAACAGGTTCAACAATGTAGTGTCTATGGTTGTGCTTTATGTATGGCTGATCACCTCTGCTTAGCACTTTATAATCATTAGCTAAAAAATAATAGTGTGTACCTTGAGATGCAACACTGCTCACTGTTTCTATGGAAAAATAAGACAATATATCTTGTAGTTCAATCAATTTTTGCTGTAAAAAAATAGATTTTGTATGACCTAATGCTTTTTAAGAATGTATAAAACTACAAGATGATTTGAGCACATTACATTCAGATATTCACTCCAGAAGTGTGTCTCTCTGTCATTTATGCGCCGAATCCTTGACCACCCTGCACAGTTTCTCACCCCTGAGTCGGCCTTGCTGGTCTACCGCTGCGCTGGTCCGTGGCATGGCCCCGACTGAGCCGCTGCTCGGGGGTATCGGGGACAGGCAGATGGGCTCGGAGCCACACAGGTCCGGGGCCACTGGAGCTGCTTGCTGGGAAATACAGTGAGAAAAGGGAAGATGTTTACAGTGAAGAAGCCGAACAGTCTTGTGTTTCTTGGAATTTTAGAGTCAAGTTGACAGAAATGACCATCGCGATGCTCAGGGCAGTTGAGTTTCCTCCGTTCATCTGAACTCGGCGCCGGCGGCGCTGGCAGAAGGTCCTTGGGGTTCAGGGGTGTTTTCTGAGAAGATGCTCTGGGGAGGGGCGTAGATGGCGGAGGGAGGAGCAGACCTGGGATGTGGAGCCGGGTCAGGCTCTGGGCGCGGCCCTGACCACAGCCACCACCCCTGCTGGGCCCGGGGCTGCGGACTCGCCTCTGTGGGGTCTGCTCTGGTTGCGTCTCCCCTTGGGTCGGGGTTTGGGGCAAAGATGCTCTTGGGGTCAGGGCAGGGGACTGGGGTGGGGGGTAGGCTTGTGTCTGGCCCATTGGCAGGTTGCTGGAGAGGAGAGAGGACAGAGGTGACCTGCTGCCCCGTAGACGCAGACAGTGAACGACAAGGAAGAGTCGAGCAGCCTCTCCGAGGGGGAATTGCAGGTTTAGTTTGTAAATTCTCCCCGGGAGGGTAACACGGGGACAGGAAGTGCTGCCCGTCGTCACCACCGCTCAGGGCAAGTTCTGGAAGCAATAGTGCTTGGGAAGATGTTGGGGTTCAGATGATGGGTCAGTGCGTGGGGTTCTGGGCCCCTCTGAGAGTGAGTGCAGCAGACGTTCCCACTGAGCGCCCGGCAAGGTCCCTGAGGAAGGAGACGCTGCACAGACACGGGCTGGCAGCCTGAGACAAGAGCCGCCTTTTCCCCGGGCAAGGCTGTTCTTTCATAAGGTTCTTTGACGGAATCATCGTGGAAACGATCTTCTCGGGGTCAGATTGGGTTGGTCTTCGAAGATCCATAATCCTCCCTGTCCCGGCTTCTGCCTGAAAACCTTTTCTGACCTCACCTCAGATTCCTGGGACTTTCCAGAGCCAGAAGGAGCTGGGTCCACGGGCAGAGCCCCTGGGTCTGGAGTCGGGGCAGACATCCCAAGCCCTCTGTGCCCCCAGCACATGCCCCCAGCAGAGGGTGGACGGGTCTGGCCCCGCCCCCAGCACGGTCCAACTTGACCAAGGAGGTGACAGGTCAGAGGGGAGACCACCCTACAAGGAGGAAGAGCCACTTGTCTGCTGTTCTGGGTGACAGTGAGATGGGCCCCCCCCAGCACCCTGGCCCTGCCCCATCCCTGGGATAGAGGAGCTGGGGCACTTTCCTAGGTTTGCACTGCCCGAGCTGCTGCTCCTGAAGCCCCTGCCCTGACCAGCCCCCAACCAACCACAGGCAGCTGGGTGAGGGTTGGGAGGGAGGAGGAAGCAGAGAGGCCAGAAAGCAGAAGTGGGGGCCAGGGATCCCTCCTCTGCTCAGAGACCCAACCTCGCCCCTGTCCAGGGCACTGGCAGGGACGTGGGTGGCATCCGTGCTGCAGAATGACCCGGAGGGAAACAGCAGCCTGGCTGCCCCTGGCTCTGCTCCTTCTCCATGTCCCAGGTGAGGGCTGGATCTGCGGGGAGGGGAGGGAGTGGAGGGGGCAGGGAGGTGAGCTCCCCGTGGGAGGGGCACATGGGAAGGAAGGGAAGCAGAGAAGCTTCCAGAATTGTCTAGCTCTTGCCTCAGCAGTGACAGGAGGATTCAGTCCTTAAGCAAGCGAACCTCGTCCACTGCACTGGACACTGGACACTGCACTCAGACAGGGGCCTGATGTCAGATCCTTTGTCACAGTGAGACATGTGCCTCATGCATCTCACACACCACACAACACACACAAACAAAAACACCACACATGCCCCGTCCACACCACACCACACACACACAGATGCCCCACACTACCATAGACAGCCACACCACACCCGTAATGCACATGCTCGTATATACTACATACATGTGTACAGGTAGACACACGCCATCCACATAACCCCTCACCACACACGCATAAATGCCCCAACACACCACACACACACCACAGACAAAAGTACATAGTACACACACCACACACAGACACACACCACACACAGTCAAGTGCACACTCAGTTTTCCCCCGTTCTGGCCCCTCTCATATCCGTGGACACCTCCCCTACCCCACCTCTCTCTGAGCCCCCCAAACCTGGGTATCCGGAAAGACCCATCTCCTGCCTGGGCTGCCAGACACCAGGTCCCTGGGGCATCCCAACCCCAGGCCAGCCCGTCACCCACAGAGGAGGGGGGCGTGTGTTGTCCAGGCTGTTGGTGTCTGGAGGGCCCCGGCATCGTGACAGGCTCTGTGGGAGGAGGACAGAGGTGCCCTGCCCCTACACGGACAAAGTGCGCAGAACATGTCAAGTACTGGTGCAGATTGCCATGTTGGACTCCAGAGAGGGTAAGATCGTGGGAGACCTGCAGGTCAGAGAGAGAAGGGAGGAGCGGCCGCGTGTCCATCAGGGTCCATGCGGAATCCTGACCTTCACAGTGACCGTGGAGAACCTCACGGAGGCTGATGCAGGAACGTACCTGT